AGGTAGGGCTTCTCTTTAGAATTCAGAATGATCTACAAGTGGGAGATGATAAGGGGATATAATCCTTGAGAAAGCATTAAGGAGGGGACCCAAATTTGAGGGAAGGTAAGTGGAGGGGGAAGCAAAAGTAACCTGCCAAGTAATTCCTTGCCAAAGGAGCCACCCTGTTATAATATAACATACAGGGATCCATCATATTAACATGTTTTGCCCACACTACAGGTGGGGGACTATCCAGGGTACATACAGCATGATGCAGAATCTTGGTGGGCATCCATAGAACTCCACCCTTTTGGTGCCATCAAGCTATTGCACATACCCAGACCAAGATTATAACCACAGGCAGAGAGAAAGTTCCTCATTTGAATATATTACAAAGAGACACAGGATACAAAAGTAAAATATTTTATGATTATATCCCATGAATTATTCTTGTTCAGTTATCCACTTACATGCAACCTAACTATTTTCATTTGGGTTTGGTTTTCATGAGGTTTCTGGAGCCCAGTGATCCTATGAAAACAATGGGGGCTGCAGAATTTCTCTGTGGGATGGACCTCAAGGAGGAGATTTGAAAAGAATGAACAGAGAATTTTTCTTGGCATGCCTTTGGAGATCATTGCAGGGGCAGGTGTTAAAGCAACTCTAAAACACCTTTTGTATTCTTGACCAGTGAATGTATTGGTTAAACTTTGTTTCTTATATGTCTAACCATTATAGATGGATTGAATTCTGGATATCTTGGTATATAATATCACTGAGGCAGACACAACAGCATAATCAAAATACATCTCAATCTTCAGCCCTAACCTATGGCTTCAAGTTCCAGATTTGTTTACCTCTGGTTGGCTGTGTGACTTAAAATAGATCAGTTTCCTTTTCTAAGTCTATGTAAAATGAGGGGGAAGAGGACAAAATATTCTTTAAGAAGCCTTTACATTCTTCTTCATGTCATTGATGTCAAGGACATCCTGGATTTCCCAAAGATCTAAAACATTGAGAAATAAGAGGTTCTTCAGACTGTCCAGCCATTCTGAGGAGCGCCATCTCTAGATAAGTCTGATATATGCCTTAACATAGGAAGACTGGATTCTTTTGTTTATAAATGTCTCTACAAAATGATACCATGGTTTCTTCTAATCTACTCATGGGTTTATTATCATTCACTGAACTCCTACTGTTAATGGGTTCAGGGGTTCTGTAGACTTTTTCTAGGGATTTCTTTCAGGTTCTTGGTGTCCAGAACAAAGAATTGGACATGACAAGCAAAAAAGGTAGTGAGGTTCTACATTTATTAAAGGTAGGAAAAGAAGTATGCTCTGCAGAGTGAGAGCAGGCCACTGAGAGAGCTCACAGTGGCTATGAGGTTAATGGCAGAAATATTTTGTAGCCTCCATTCTTCAAACCTGCTTATTTTGCACCAGAATTGAAAGTAGCACTTTCTTATTAGTCCCAAGTTTAGGGCATGAGAACTGTTTTCTATGTATGTGGACTGGATCTCTGTGATTGACAGGTTACTCCCATTTGCCCAGCCAGTTGGCCATGCCCGAATCTCCTGTCTTACTATCCCTAGGATGATTTCCTATAATCCCTTCAAGGCCACTTTGCTATATATGATACCATTGCAGGATGTGAATTGTGGCAATATCTAAATTGATAAAGTGGTTGCTGTCCAAGTGGCTAGGGCAGGTTAAAAAAAGGGAGACTGTTAATAAAGACAAAATTTTTTGTATAAACATTCCCTGATCATCTTCTGTACAAAGAATAATAGCTTAGAGCCTGATAAATATAAATATAAATACAGAATCCCAGTCTTTGTTATTAAGGAGCTTCTAATTTCAGAGAAGAGTGGAGCAGAGCAGTTGAATGAATGTCCAGGTGTCCCAGACCTACTTAACTCCATAGATCCTCAACTGCCATCCATTCTGAAATGTATGGGAGGTGGTGGTCTCCAGTTGGGCAGAGGACTGGGTCCTTAGTGAGCCACTTTCATTTTGTGATGATCCCTTTGATGTGTCAATTTGATAGGCTTCCAGTTATTCCATCAAACACTAATCAAAGTGTTGCTGGGAAGATATTTTGTAGATATGATTAAAATCCATAATCAGATGATTGTAAATTAAAGAAATTATTTTACATAGTCTTGGTAGGCCTGAATCAATCAGTCAATCAGAAATGTTAAAGACAGGGTTGAGTCTTTTCTGAGTTAAGAAGTACTTTTACTACATGCCAACTGCAGCTTTAGCCTATGGCTAAGAACTCTGGCCTCCCCTTCTTGGTAGTCTGTAGCATGGATTTTGGACTTGTCTGCCAGACTTCATATTCCTTTAGGTCAATTCTTTGTAATAAATCTTTTACTATATGATAGGTCCTATGGATTTCAGACTTGCATAAGTGGACTTTCAAATAATTCCTTGTAGTAAACCTCTTAATAATTGTCTCCTATTGGCTTGGCTTCTCTGGTTGAACCCTAAATCAGATTTTCATACCAGAAGTGAAATGAATGTATTTGCATTTTGTTTGTAGGGTCAAAATATGACTTTGGGCTCTCCTAAAAGATATCTACATTTCAATCCCTGAGAATATGTTCCCTTAAGTGGCAGAGGGGAATTATGGTGGCACATGGAATTAAGGCTGCTCATCAGCTGACTTTGAAATGGAGACATTGTCCTGGATTCTTCAGGTGAACCCAATGTAATTACAAAGGGCTTAAAGGTAGAAGAAGCAGACAGAGAAGGAGAATCAGACAAACAATGGTGAGAAGGACATGGCCCAATGTTGCTGGCTTTGAGGAAATGAAGGCAAGTGGAGCCTTTGGAAGCTGAAGAGACCAGGGAATGGTTTGTCCTCTAGAACTTCCAAAAAGGAATGAAACAAAGCCAATATCTTCATTTTAGTCCAGTAAAACTCATTTTGAATTTTTGCCATTTAGAACCATGGGATAATTTATAAGTGTTATTTTAAGCCACTGAATTTGCAACAGTTTGCTGTAGCAGTCATACAAAAATAATGCAAATATTAATCCTCATCTCTTTCAGCAGTGGCTCATCAACTGCTGGACAAAGATGGGGACAGAGGATTTATTCCTTCCCTGCTTTATAGATGAGCTGGCCCACCTTCCACCTTTGTCTCACTGTGCCCTGGCACGTTGCCCCTCAGGGTCCTCAGTGCAGCCCTCAGCCCTTGGACATGGTCCCACCCCATCCCTGCAGCAGACTGGGTGAGCCTGGAAAGATCCAGAGCTTGGAGTCTGTCTAAGAGCCTCATCCTATCCTTTGCTCTCCTCTACCATGGTTTCCACACCAGATGCACTGTCTATTTATAGGCTACTGATGCCCAGAAGACATTTAAGAGAAATTATACAATGCTGGCTTTATAAGATTTTTTTTTTAGAAAGTGTTTCATTCTCTCTCTAAGCTTATGAGTCCATGGGGGATATCTGAGCTTCATAACCTTGCATTATTATCGTGTCAGTTGGTTATCTGAAGGAAATATTTCCTCAGCTTCACTTACTTCCTCTTTCAGAAGAATGTGTCAAGTGTATGTTTACAATACTTTCTGGAAGAAATCTCTTCTTCTCAAATCCAGGGCCTAAAGACTGGTAATTGTTGGAAATGAAACAGGTCATCCTGTCCACAGCCCAGCTTTGCTAAGGGCAGTGAGAGACTAAAGAAAATATCTGGAGATAGCTGAGAGCTACAAGGCTTATTAAGACTTACTAATAGGGAAGCGTCCATGAGAAGCACATATGGATCCAACAGTGCTACTCTGAAGATCCACAAGGGACGTGTATTTATCAACAGTGGTGTTCAGCAAGTCCATGAGGGGTGTGTACTCAACGATAGCACCATGTGGGAGGTCCAGTGATGAGTGGCTGGACAATTAGCACTTATCCTCTCCACAGTGCTTCACTCCACACTCACTTGCTGCAGGGAAAGGGGTTTTACAGATTAAACTGCATGAGCAGTGACACATTCACTTGCTTTGTTCTAGTGTAGGACCAGCATTCCAAGAACAACTGACCTAGCCTACAGGCAGGAAGGCAGCTCCTACAGACAGCAGTAGTTTGACAAGTTTCCATTGTTCTTTAGTTAATACTTATCCAGACAGTCCAGTCTGGGCACACTTACAATGTCCCTTTGACTTGACAAGAATCTTGGGAATACAAAAGGCATCTCAGGACCATGTCCCACTTTTTCTCAGGAATGATATGTGAGGGTCAGGTGATAGGGAGAGAGTTGCATTTTCTTCTTTTCTTGTCTTTTCTCTCTCTCTCTTTCTCTCTCTCTCCTCTCTCTCCTTCCTTCCTTCCTTCATTCCTTCCTTTCTTCCTTTCTTCCTTCCTCCCTCCCTTCTTCCCCTTTCCTTCCGCCTTCCATAAATATTACAGTTATAGCTATTGTAGTACTTGGTGCTTGTATGCATTTCCCAGGGCTGCCACAACAAAGTAGCACAAACTGGACAGTTTAAAATGGCAGAGACTAACTGTCTTACAGTTCTGGAGATGAGAAGTCTAAAATCAAGGTGTCAGAAGGGCCATGTTCTCTCTGACTCTGGGTAGAATCCTTCCTTTCCTCTTTCTAGATTCTGGTGGTGTCAGGTGCTCCCTGGCCTGCAGCAGCATCACCCCAGTCTCCGTCTCCATCATCACATGGCTTTTTTACCCTCTCTTCGTGTTTCTTCACATTGCTTTCCTTCTGGGCATGTCTGTGTCCAAATTTCTCTCTCTCTCTCTGAGACAAGATCTCACTATGTCATTTAGACTGTCCTTGAACTCACTATGTAGCCCAGGCTGGCCTCAAACCCACAGCAATCCTCCTGTCTCTGCCTCACAATTGCTGGGATTACAGGCATGTGCCACCACACCCAGCTTCTCTGTTCTTCAAAGGCTACCAATCCTATTGGGTCAGGAATCTATCTTGCTTTATTGTGACCTCATCTTAACTGGTAACATCTGCAACAGCTACACGATGACCTAGAAGTGCTAGTGGTCTGAATGAAGAGACTCGGAGTGGGGCATGGGGGGGAATAGAAGCAGGCAGAGTCTAAACTAGTGAAGAGGTAGCATGCCCAGAATTTGGTGATTAATTAGGTGAAAGGATAAAAGAGAATAAAAGTCAAGTGAAGAGTGATCAGGTTTCCAGCTTGGACAACTGGAGAGAAGCCAAAGCAATGGGCAGCTTCCCTCTCCGCTCTTCATGTACCTACTATGCTTCAAGTATGATGCTGAACACATTCCATAGATTATCTTGCTTAATCTTAATTTCTTTCTTAATGGTAAATATAAGAACAATGGGTTTTATAATCAGGGGTATCTTAAATTAATAAAATATAAAATTATCCCTGTTTGGCAGATAATAAAGCTGCTTTTCATAGGGATTTGTTACATAGTTTGTCTAATTTAATCCTTATTACACAGGTCATCTCAGTTAATCGTCCAACAGCCCTATGAGGTGGTTTTATTATCCTTTCTCTACAGATAAGGAACCATCCTGGGCAGACTAATAATAATGACAGTTATGATCTATTGAGCTTCCAGTTAGGAACTGAGCAGTGTGCTTTGTGTTTCAAACTCACAATCATCCAATGGGATATGTGGCCACCCAACTAGAGAGATGAAGAAATGCTCCCACAGGGTCCATCTTGGATCTCTTGACTCCTCTTCCCTCACAGGACAAAGACAAATCTTGTTGGGCTCTCAAACTCCTCCAGAATCTGCCTCCAACTCTATCTACCTCTTTGAGACACAGTCCTTGCTTTGCAGCTTTGTCCTGGCAAAATTGAATTATCTGTGGTCCCTCAGAAACATCTTGACAGAGCTGGGACTAGTGAGGCCCCTAGGGAACAAAATACGAACACATTGATTCTGAGCATCCTGCAATTTCAGATCAGCCCCCAAGAGTGATCATCTCCTCATCTCACCCTGGCCCCATGCCTGTCATGTGGATTTTCCTCACTTTGGCTGTTACTTCTCTTCTCAGGAGTATCTTCTTTCTCTCATTCCAACTTCAGTTTGACTCATACTTACCCTTAATGGCCATCACCTACAGGAAGCTTTTCCTGACCACCTCCCACCTGGGACAGGTGTCCCTTTTCAGGACTCCTGTAGCACCGATTTTATATTCCTATCATTGCACTTGCACAAAGGAAGCAGTTACTTGTTTCTGTTTCCCCTCTAGAGCATGATCCCCTTGAGGGTGGTCATATTTATCAGTGTGTTTCCATTAGTTAGTATAATGCTTAGTGTACAGTAGGTGATTATTAAATGTTTGTTGAATTAATTAAGTAATTGTTATGGGCTAAATTGTGTTCCTAATCCTCAGCACCTTAGAATGTGATTAACTTTGGAGATAGGATATTTAAAAAGATAATTTAGGTAAAACATGGTCTTTAGGGTGGACCCTAGTCTAATATGAGTGGTTTCTTTGTAAAAAGAGTAGATTAGGACACAGACACACAGAGAGAAAAGGCCATGCAAAGACTCAGAAGATGGCCATTGCCAAGCCAAAGTGAGGTCATAGAAGAAATTAATCCAGTGACACCATGATCTTGGACTTTTAGCTTCCAGAACTATGAGAAAATAACTTTCTGTTGTTTAAGCCAGGGTGTGGCTTTTTGTTATGGCAGCCCTCCAAAACAAATATGCTAGCCAAATAAGCAACTAATAGTCTTCAATGTCATACACATGCCTCATGTTGCTTTCATTTTTTTCTTTCTTACCAGTATGCTCAATCAGTTGTCAACTCTAGAGGAAAGAACTGCGTATTTGTATCTTTCCCATGTAGGACTCAGCCTTTAGTTGTTCATATAGTTGCTCAATAAATGCTTTAAATATTTGTGTTGTTCAGAAATAGGGATGGTTTCTGTTTCTTTGCTGGGATAGTGTTCCAGCCTCATTTGATGGAAACCAAGGCCAACTGTGGAAGGTGGTACATGGCTAGTTCTGAGAAGCTCTGACCTTGAGTCTGCCTGAGCTCTCATCTTGTACACTCACAGAGGTCCAGAAAGTGGAGCAGTACAGCCTCAGACCATGGGCTTAACACCACTCATAGTCTGGCAGGAGAGAATGCACCTGTTAAAGGGTGAGAATGGTCGCCTAAGAACATCATAGCTTACTCATCATTTATTTAGAAATATTTAGAGAGTATGTTATGTGCTATATTTTCTGGCACTGAGGATGTGGTAGTGAAGGAGACAGACTTGATGTTTCCAGGCTTCTTCCCGAAACTCTCTTTCTAGTGCAATCAAGATCTTGACCATCACTGACATTCTAATAATAAGCACAACTCATGCTTTCACAGAGCTTCAGAGTTTACAAAGTGTGTTGATGCTCATTAGCTCACTCAGCTTTCTCCAAAACCTTGTGCAGTAAGAATTGTTATTATCATCTTTCATAAATTCTCACAATGATATTCTCACTTTAACATCTCTGACATCAGGATAGGTCTCACAATGGATAACAAACATCATAGTTTAATTGGTAGCTCTTATTTTCTTTCTTAGCAGTCAAAAATGATGATTCTTATACTCAATGGTATCTTAGATTTAATAAAGTACAGAATTATCTCTCTTTTGCAGATAATGCTGTTGCAGTTCAGAGAGATTTAGTGGCTTTGCAAGGTCATATGGCTCTATTGTCTTCTGTACAGGTTGGAGGAACATTGGAAAAAAAGTTCTATGCAAAAAGCCACAGTAGCCCTGGTCAGAGCCTCTTTGTTGGTTGTTCTTGGGTGATTTATTTCTCAGGCACACCACAGTTTGCTGCCCTCAGTTTTTCTACAGGGAAAGGAAGCTCTGCCCTATCCCAGGATGAATTTCATCCCTACCAGGGGAGCAGTGAGAGGGTAGCTAAGACCAGCTAAGCATGTCTAGGGTCAAAAGAGCCCCTTACTCTTCTGAGTGCCCAAAGGGCTCTAGTGAGCTTCCTCTTCAGGCTGCCCTGAATGATCTGTTGACAAAACACATATGGGCAAGGAGGAGGTCTCTGTGATCAGCTGTCATGTCTCCTCAACAGCCTTGATGTGCTTACTCTCTTCATTACCCAGGAGGTGTCAACCCTTCACCTATGGTGATCTACAGTCTGACACACCCACTTGCCTGTGGCTGGAAGGCTGTGATGTTGGGTGAGGGTGAAGGAGAAGTAGACAGGCATCCTCTCTAGAGATGAACGAGGAAATGGAGGGAATGGCTGCTGGAGACAAGGTAGGAACAGCTTGTTGGTGTTGCCCATCTTTATCGTATGTCTAACCATTGTAGCTGAAACCTGACTCAAAGCCAGGTGTGAGGTGACTCCAGGAATTACACTGTAAGCATTGCTTGGCTTTTCCAGCTCTCTCTCTCTCTCTCTCTCTCTCTCTCTCTCTCTCTCTCTCACACACACACACACACACAAACGCACACAGCTGCCTAGGTGAATCTTTTCCCTTCTTACCTGAAACTTTCCACCTGATTAGCAGCATCACATAGTAGAGGATGATTTTTATTTTCTCTGTGGATTTTCCATGGGTGACATGACACCTCAAGAGGGCATCTTATCTGTATCATTTCCTCCACCTCCATCTCATCTCTAGCCCTTCATTGGCTCTGGAATTCCTCCAGGATTCCCAAACTCCTCATCTGATAGTACACTCCCTTTTTAGTCTAGCCCAATCCATATCCATGAATGTTATATGTGGTCCCTTTACTTGCTATATATACTTCAGCAGAACTCATTTTCTAACTGGACCAGAAAGAAATATGCCACGACTGTCCCACTTCTGTATCTGTTCTCTCTCCATGCCCCTGCCAATAGTTCTTTCCCCTTTGGTTGCATTATTTACAGACCACTTCCAATCTATTCTCTGAAGATCCTTCCTGGGCTCAGCCAGTGATATGAACTAATACAAAGGGACCCAGAAGAGAACTGCCACATCCTCTTTGATGGCCTTCTCCTTGATGCCATATATCAGCTCTGGTGACTTTGGTTGTGTGGCTCAATTTTTGTTCTGAAAGTGAGCTTAAAGTCTTTTTCCTTGCTCCCACCAATGGCCCATTTTCAGGACTGTACTGGAGCTTTCCCAGGCTTTTCTACATCCTCTTGGAACTCCGACATGATTGGAGACAGCTGTATCTCACTAGCGCCTCTGATTTCATTGCCTCTAGATAGGTCAGCTTTTGTAGCACCTTAGCCCACCCCAAGGCAGGAAGTTCCAGCTCCTAGTCCCTCCCTCCTTCGCTCCCTCCTTCCCTCCCTCTTTATCCAGTTCTCAGGGATTCATTCTGCTATGCCAAATCTGGGGAACCCACAAGGCCTTCTGACAGCTGATGTTGGGTCATCCCCCATGCCACTCTCTTGCATCTTAAGCGATGATTATAAGAGGACCCTTCATAGCTATATGTGAATTATTTATCTCACAGTACTGTGTACAAATAATTCCTATTGACCATGCAAATGTTGAAATCTTCAGAAAGTCCTTGCTGATTGATATCTTATCTAAGTCCCTCCTTTTTTGTCATGACTCACTAACTTTGCTTGCATCTATATTTCTTTGTTACAGACTCTTCTCTTTTCTACAGTCTTCCAAGATTAAATGTTAGTGGGTCAGATGGGAAGGTTCTGAGGGGGAAGAAGTTGTCGTTTATATGTTTCCCTAGTGTCTATTATGGTGCTTGTTACATAGTCAATAGAGAGAAAATAGCAAAATAAACTTGTAAAATTGAGCTTAATAAATATTTCTGGAATCCTTAATGTATGCAAAACACTGTTCTAAGTATCTTAGGTTCCAGAAAGAAAATGAAACCAAACAGGGTGTCTGTCCTTTAGGAAATCGGGCCAGGCAAAGACAATTTGGGTGTTTCCAGTTAATTGCAAATGGTACCACATGGGTAGAAGTTTCCTTTAGCTAAAGGGTTCTTAACTAGTGAGCTGGAGATAGTGCTTTCTGAAGAACAGGGGGCTTTTTGTTGATTATTAAGACATGAGAAGAATTCCCCACGAGCATATAATGCTATTTCTGGAAACCACAAACCTTTTGCCCCTTTGCTTCTATCTTGATCTTTGATACTGTGACTGGTAAGACTGGATAAGGAAAAGGCCAAGAGCCATGATCCTTGCAGGATTTCAACTCCTGCTGGCCCCCAGAAGGACTAAGCTCAGCTTTTCCTCTTCCTCAAGTAAAGAATGAAGGCTCCAATGGGGGACGACAGCCTGTCAGATGCTGCCTGAGTGGCAGCAGGCAGTCTTGCCAGCCATTACCTTGTTGGAGTAATCCTTGAACCCATGTAGGCTCTCCATTTGATCTGCTGGAGACCACAGGAGATAGTCAAATGCTTTTGGCTAATATCATATGCATGCATAATTAGATGGCAGCAATTACCATCTGGGTTCCTAGCACTTGTTCCAACATCCAGGCCCTGGGCAAGAAGCTAGTGGGAGTGTGGCAGGGAGGCCTCCCTCACCCTGCCCATCCTTTGTTGGGCTCCCAGAGAGCAGATTGGAAGCCTAGAGCCTGGGAGCACAGCCCTGTGGAAGGCCAACGATGCTCAGTGAAGAGTGACAACAGGCAGGTGGCAGAGGGAATCGAGCCGTACGCATGTCTCTGCCAGCTCCTGGGTTGGCATGCCATTGCAGACTGGGTGAGTTGCCATGGGCATGGTGGATAAAGGCTCCTAGGCAGCCTTTGTGGCAGACAGGAAGCCAAGAGTAGGTTTGAGGGTTCTCAGAACAGTGATAGGGCTGATGAGATGCCATCTGCCCTGCCCCTGGCTCTGGGCGCTTTCACCTCCTGACTGTTGAGCTCCCTGTGGGTGCCAATGATACAGGCATATGCTTGGCCAGGTCTGGCTGACACTTTCCTGAGGCTGGTACCCAGCCTTCTTGGCTGGGGAAGAGGATTGGAGATAAGGGGAACTGAGGTGGCCCAGGAGCAGTCTTCAGGTGCAGAGGAGTCTGAAGAGGGTGAACAACCATGGACCTAAGCCTCCAGATACTTCCTTATTTCATGCCTTTGACTGGAGGAGAGTTCTGGTCAGTCATGGCAGGGTTGGCCCAGCCTCATGTAGCACTTGCTACCTGCTGTGCCTGCAGCTTAATCACCAATCAATTCAGTGGATGGGTAGCAGCTTCTGGCTGGGGTGGTAAGGCAGTGTTTAGTGAAAGGATCTTCCCAGCAAGGGCTTGGAGTAGGTGGGGTTGTGTTTGAATTTCAGCTCTGCATTTCCAGCAGAAAGACAAAGGTCCAGTTACTTAACCAATCTGTTACTCTTTCAGCAAAGTGGAGCTGTGAAGACGTACCTGGCACATGGCTATGCTCAGAAAATGTCAGGTTGGTCTTTCCTTCCCTTCGATATAAAGTTGAACATGATAGGGAGTCTACACTATACTTTCAGATTTTTTTTTCTTAATTTGTAAAGAGGTAACATGGGAAAAAGAAAAGGCTATTTCTGTTTCCTAGGGTCTTCTAAGTTCAGCTATTTGGCACCAGGAGGCCATGTATGGACAAGGAGGTCCATTTTGGCCAAACAACCTCTCTGTGCTTCCAGTGGCATATGCTCCTCTACTTGTCCCAAAGAGAACCAACACACTGTAATAGAAAGGGCACGAATTTTGGACTCAACTGACCAGGGGGTTCCATCCCAGCTCTGCCATGTAATAGTTGTATGGTACTGGGGGAAAGTTACTTAATCACTCTGACCCTCATTTTCTGCATCTCTATGATGGCTATAATAATCATCTGATAGTGTTATTATGGGAATTTATTTATTCATTTATTTGGTACTGGGGATTGAACTCAGGACCTTGAGCTTGCAAGGCTGGCAGTGGAATCACTGAGCTAAATCCCCAGGCCCTATTATGGGAATTTAAAAACTGAAGTATACGAAGTTGGCCACCTAGTAGGATGGTGGTTATAATGATTGTATTTTAAGATATGAATGGAAATCTCTTGATCTTTAGAGATTTATTAAACTTTCTGGAACCCTAGTTCTGGGAAGTTCTGAGCATGAACATCCCTGTTGTTTCTCGAGTTCCTTCACTTATTTTTCGTGTTTCTGACGTTCTACTTCTCTAGGTCTGTCTGTGTCTTCTTTGGTTTCCGTGTGGGTTTCTGTAGACTAGTGGTGGCGAACCTATGTTGAAAGCTCTAAAATGTTTGCCATCACTGCTGCAGAGTTACTGAAGATTTAGAGGTGTCAGGAATCCAAGATATGGTTCAGTTCACCTGGTGAGGTACAGCCACTGGCCATCTGACCGGTTCTTTCTTTTATCTCCTCTCTTCAAGCCCAGTTCTAACCATGCCTTGTATAGAACAGTTCCGTTCACTCCTAGGGCTCTTGGATAGCTCATATTTTATAGGAAATTATAGAATGTTCATCTTGAGAATTCTGGAGAATGAAGACCTCCCTACCAGATGAGCACATTATTGCTGTCTGACTCAGCAATGTGGCTGGCTCCTGGTGAGGGCTGCTAAATACTCCCTTCACAGGTCCAAAGGAGACAGGATGACCTTAGCTTTATCTGTGTTGGTGGCAGTCCCCTGGGGAGTTGGGAAGGGGCTCAGCAGTAAGGTGGAGCTTAGTGTAGGGAGTCTGGTAAATATTTGCATTATGAATATGGATGGTCCATTAGATCAGTGCAGGGACCTTGCCAGCAAAGAAGAGTTCTAAGGAATAGTGTCTAGAGTATTGGATACTATCAACAGGGCAAGGGGCAAGGCAGGGTTGTATAAGGACTCCAGCCAAGCCAGGCAAAGCTCTATTGCCAAAGAAAACTGGAGTAATGGGCGGGAAACTCAGGCTGAAGAAATAGCCCTTTGCTTTTGAACTTGTGCATTTCTTGCACACATGTGAGGTTGTGGAATTCCGTACTGACATGCTTATGATTTTGGGAGGTTACAAGGTAATATGATCCCTCCTGAAACTATCTGGTGAATAGTCTCTACCTTAATTATCCAGTCAAGAGGCATATTATGGGATAGAACCTAGCAATTAGAAGGCAGGGTATAAGTAGCTTGGAAGGTAAACTCCATTTTGCTTCCCCGGCTCTGGACCTCCAGGATCCTAGGTGATATGGGAACAGGTGGCCTCTGGCAAGGAAGGTCAGTCTGGGTCCCTCCTGGTGAAGAGGTAACCTTGTGGGCTTTAAGGTGAACATGAGTCACCTATAGGTCTGAAACCCACTGATCTGGATCTGTATTACTCTGTTTTCTCCATGTAAATATTCCAGCATGAGCTCAGTTATCTAGTGGAGAGAAAATAAAATGGTCATGCCCACCCTTGATTCTGTAGGGTTGAGTGGAGAGTATTCTGAACCCAAAGCCTGAGTCATTTCCAAAAGTGAGTCTTCCAGGGCACTGTGAAGTCTAGGTTCCTTTTCACCCCATGACTTTTCTCCATTGCAAGCTGTGGAGGGTCAATTTTACTTTGTGAAGGATATTGACCATTTCTTGATCTTTGGTGGTACTGAGGCCATAATTCAGGTTCTACAGGATTACTGGGGACAATATTTCAGCCTATGGCAGCTCGACCTGATTTCAGGCTCACACCTTTGTTGTGTAAGGCCCCTAAAACTTTCTGTGCCCTGATGAGCTCCATCTCCAGAACTTGGTGGGATTGAGTCTTCAATGGAAAGGCCTTAGGGTGTTGCTAAGCAGCATTGAGGTTGGTCTGGGACACATTATCAGCCTCTCCTTTTCTCCTTGGCTGACCACCTTCAGTTTTCAGCATGGCTGGCAGCTCACCCTTCTTGGACCTCTGGGTCTGTGCTCTGCCTGTGCTGAGGGGCTGCAGAAAGGTCCAGCTTTTAGCTCCCTGCCAAAAATGTGCTCTGAAGGCCTGTGCCAGCCTAGCCTGGATTGGCCTTGAGTGTCAGGGGGCCAAGGAGAAGACCTCTACAGCATGCAACCATTTTCTGCAGAATTCATTACTACCCCGCATCCAATTAGGGAGAACAGACTGGGTGAGACAATGGCCCAGACCCCTTGTTAAGTAACATCCCTAATTGATGACAGGAATGGTGTAGCAGTTTGGAAGCCAGCTCAGATTGTGTTTTTAAAATTCTCCTTTCTCCCGGGCTGTCTGCCAGAACTCCATGGCATGGCTCTCCAGGAGAACAAAGGAAGCTTTGAAAATCTTCCTCCCCCTCCTTCAAATGCTTATCTGAAAGGACATCTTTTTCCCCTTAGTTGCTGCAATCATAAAAGCACAGGTGATAAATTGCTTCTTCGTATTCATCAATTGTGAAGGTTCCTGCACCCCCTAAAACCAGGAATTGCAGCAGCAGCAGTAGCAAGAGCCTGAGACCATCTTATACCCGCTCTGATGCCTATCGGGTCTCCAGAAAGGGAGACGGAGAGGGAGAGGGGAAAGGAACTTTGTTCAGTGACAACTTTTATCTCTGGGTCTTGGGCTGTTGAAATGCCAAGCTAGGGCTAGATAGGATCTCCTGACAGCTGCTGCTGCCTAGCTCTTGGGGACAGAGGGCTGGTATTGGGTAGGAGGAGGGCCTTGAAGTGAATTGAATATATCATGAATTTCCTAACCAGAGTTCAGTCTTGGTGAAACTGCACTCAGAGAGGAGAAAGAGGACTACAAGAAGGGCCCTCAGACCCAGGATTTGCAATTACCTTGAGAAGCTGTTTCCAAAGGGATGGTGGCTAAGCCATTTCAGAGGAGGATCTGTCCTGCTTGTGAGCTCCCTAGCTATGCACTGTACGTGGGGAGGGGGTTGGGTCTGTGATTTGGACTGGATTTGAGACTTCTGGGGCCCCAAGTCACTTCAGGCTGAGGCTGTTTTCCTATATTGGCCATACTCTGTCTCCTTACTGAGTTCACCGCCTATCTGTTTACCTTCACTCTTCTGTCACTCTACCCTATGTTGCCCATGCCACCCTGGGCGATGTAGAGGAGGCAAGACCATGAGGGTAGAGTTGTTTACAGCTAAGAGTGGCACCATGAGCTCAGCTTAATTCAGTGACACTTCAGAGTTTTAAAGCAAGAGGAGATGATATCAGAGCTCGCCATTTTTAGCTTTTAAAAATTCATAGAACACCTACTATGAAGTAGATATGGTTCAAGTGCATTATGCTTATCTCAGTTTGTCCTCTCAATAGTCCTGTGAAGCAGGGGAGGGGAAAGAAGTTCACAGAGGTTCATTTGCCTCAGATTGTACAGCAATTGGTGGAATCAGAATTCAAACTCAGGAATACTGGGTCAAAAGCTTGAATTCTGAGCCACTGCTCTGTGCTGGCGTTCACTGTGCTCTGCATAGAAAGTTGAATAAAAGTTTCCTGGGGTAGACAATGGGGAAGAGAGAATATTCTGCTGGGAGAACAGAAGGATGAAGGCACAAAATTGTGAACCCCTTTGGAAATAAAAGAGAAGTACTATCTATTGAGGACCTGCCTGTGCCAGGCACTGTGCAAAGCTTTTCATGCATTTGTTATCTTATTTTCAGATTAACCCTCTTTTAAAAGTAAGGAAATCAAGGCTCAGAGAGCCCAACCCTCTGCCTTCTTTTCCACCTGACTGCTGGACAGTTCTATGATCTTGAGCAAGCCCTTCCTGCCATTTAGGGTCACAGTTCTCTCTCTGAATCTGAAGACAAGAGGGTTAAAGTTTGGTGAGATTTCACCTTTGCTGTATGCAATCTCCTTTTCTCCCAGTGGGAGGAACTAAAATAGGATATGAAATATGGGCTAAAGAATCAGATGTCTGGAAAATCATGAAAGTGGTATCTGCCACTGGAGTTCTCGGAGCCTACAGGGAGGTGAAGTCATGGTTCATTCATAATTTGGCAGGCCCTGCAAAGTTTGGAGAATGTGCCCATCATGGGAGCCCATGCACATTTCCTCACTCAAGTGGCTTTGGCGTCCCCAGACTGATTGGGTCTGTGGGAAGAGTACAGAACCTGGGGAAAGTGTAAGAGTTCACTGGCTGGAATGTCTCCAGTAATAATTAATTAGTCAATCAATTCATATATTCATTTATCAAGCTTTCTCTAAGTGCACTGGGAGGTCTGTCTTGAACTGAAGGGGTCCCTGCCAGAGACTGCTTCTGAGCACATGAATGTTAGAGCCTGATGTCTTATTTATTCCCTGCCCCATCTTACCTCTGAATCCTGATTGTCTTAGTTACGTTTCTCATTGATGAGACAAAATATCTGATACTCAAAGTTAAATGTGGAAAGGTTTATTTCAGCTTACAGTTTGTAGAGGTTTAAGTCCATGCTGGGTGGCATGGCAGAGGGGCATCACAAAGGAGAAATAGTCCATGGCAGGGAGATGATGACAGTGAAGGCAGCAAGCAGCAAGCAACAGTAGCAGCCCTCTT